GGGGGAGGAGCAGCTCGGAGAGCGGCCCGGAGGAGGAGGAGGAGGGGAAGGTACTGCTACCCCGGGGAGAAGGAGAAGGGAGAGCCGCCAGCGGAGCTTCCCGGTCGGGTCTCGGTCCCCAGCGCAGGTGACCCGCATCTCCCGCCTGTACGGCGGGCAGGGGCGCGGCGGCGCTCCCTCTTCCCCTCACCAGCACCAGAGGCACCTGACGGTCGCAGCGTCCCCCGCTTACGGACCCCGACACCGGTGTGCTGTGGGGGCTCAGGTGTGGCCGGGAGAAGGGCTGTGGCTCAGATCGAGCTGTTCAAATTGGTGATCTCTCTTTCTAGAAAAGAAAGAAAGAAATGTCTTCTAAGTCAGAGAAAAGGCTCAAAACGGAGGACAAACCTTTGAAGCTGACAGAAAAACCTCCAGGACAAGGCAGTGAAGAGGAGGGCATGTTCCAGGTATGGAGGGCAGCGATCCATTCTAGGAACACGCCTTCCTTCTCATCTTTATACAGGTCTCCCCTGTACCTCCTCCACTTGCAGCACAGCATTTTTGTAGCTGAGCTGACTGCCCCAGGGTGCTGCTGTTCCTTCCCTAGTCCTTTGGTACATTGAGTGACCCAACAGGCCCTACGGCTGAAGAGCAGCTTATTGCAGAGCTGGGTCTAATGCAGGCTCTGTGTCACCACAGATTGGGAAGATGCGTTATGTCAGAGTGTCCTGCTTCAAGGGGAAGGTCCTCGTGGACATCAGGGAGTTCTACACTGACAAGGAGGGCAGCATGAAACCGGGGAGGAAAGGTACAACCACATTTGCCGGTGGCGGCTGGGGGCCACAGCGGCCTCCACCTCGGTTGCTGGCTCTCCAGCTCCAGCTTAGCCGGTCTCTCTCGGTGGTAGGGAGACCGGTGCGTGCCACACTGAGGGACCGGGGAGCTGAGCACTTTCTCAGCCTGGGTGGCAACAACTGAAGAAAAGCACAAAGAGTGTGTGTGAGTCTCCAGTGAGATCTGGAGCGTGGCAGGACCGCTCTGAGAAGCAGTGCAGGCAGCTGCTGTGCAGGATGCTGGTTCTACCTCTGATTGCCAGTCCTTTCTCTTGCTGTTGGCAGGGGCAGAGCTGCAAGGTGGAGGAGGGCAGTCTGAAAACACTGGGTCTGATGCTGCTTCCTCGTGTCCTACTGCTAGCTGACAAACTTGTGTTTTGGTACTTGTGACGCCTTCAGCAAAAAGGCATTTTGTGTGTTTGCTCCTAATCTGTAGCAGGAAGAGTCTCCCAGAAGTAAATCCATTCTTCCCTATCTGGGTGCAGACAGGAAGGTTAAGGCCCTTCTGGATCCCTACCAAGGCACTCCAGTGCTGCTGTATTAGGTGTTCCTTATTCTTTTGGCAAGGTGTCTGATGATGTGATATAGGGGCACGACTTGGGTGGCCCATCACAGCAGCACTACCTGAGTAGGTGATGCAAGCAAAGGCTGCTGGAGAAGGGAAGACATTTTTCTCCAGAGCTCCTCAACTGATAAGTCAACACTCAAGCCTTTTGCTTTGGGACTTTGACAGTGACTTCCCACCTTGCCTTGTAGTTCACAGGCCCTGGACTCTTCACCTGTCCTGTGTGTTGTGCCCAGCAAAGATTCAGTTAACGTGGGGTTTCTTGAGGAAGCTTTTGGTCTTTGCTATAGATTTTTGTGTCGGGGCAGACAAATTTGTTTCAGCTCAGTTTGCTTCATAACCACTAAGCATGGTTTTACTTCCAGAAATTAATTTCCTTCAGGGAACTTACAAGTATAAATTACTCATTTAGAGGGAACTATGTACCCTGTAACGAAAACGGGAAGCAAAGTACTCAAGCTTTTCTGTGCCACTGGGGGCAGAGAGGGAAAGGAGCTTTATGAACTCCTTCCAGGCTGTAAAAAGCGCATTCACAATGTGAGACAGAAGATCTGTCAGTTAAAACAGAGATCATGAAGAAATGTTTTTTGATTTAAATACTGCCTGTGCTGTTTTTCTCAAGAGTTCTTGGCCCCTGATCTTTATCTAGAGAATTTAATAAAGCTTGGGCCCTAATTCTTTAGTGTGGTTCTCAACAAAGCCAAAAGGAACAAGTTGACAACATCTGGCTGGAACACACGCAGCAATTCCACTACCGTGTTTGTTTTGTAAGGGAGAGGTACAGGACATCAAGACCTTATCTCTGCTGGATCTTAAAAAGAAGCTAGTTCTTCTCTAGTGTTTAAGCCACACTAGTGATTTCTTGTTAGCAGCAGTTTTTTTTTAAATAGAGCTGGAGTTGGCATTATTTCCTTTGGGCAGTTGAAGGGACGGTGTCCTAATTGCTGTGTGGAGTAAGGTTCTCCTAGAATTTCTTCCCAGCTCATGTGGGTGGGAATTTGTACTAGGGAATGGGCTACAAGGGGCTGTGGGACTCTTGAAAGGGAATTTGAGCTTATATTCTCATATGGTGCTTGTGTGATAGCATTGAGTACTCCTTGGTACAGATGCTGAAGTGCTGGCACAACTGCCATGCGTAGAAGGCTGCTTCTGCTTCTGGTCTGTGCCTCTGCCTTAGATTCCAACTTTCCCTTCTGTAGCCAGTCTGAAGGAGCCAATCTGGTGTGCTACTTGATGCTTACCCCTTGCTTCCTCTGAAACCTCTCCTTCTGCTGTTTTTAGGGATTGCCCTGTCTGCAGAACAGTGGAACCAGCTAAAGGAGATCGTTCCTGATATCGATGCTGCAGTCAAGAAATTATAAGATGAAGAATCTTGGACCCCTTAAATCTGTTTCCTTTCCCTTAAGTGCACTGACAGCTATAAAGCCAAGGATTCTTATCTGGAGCCTTCCCCTCACTTTACTGGGGTTTCCTCACTGAGGTGGTGGTCATGCTGAAAAGACCAGAGACTCTTCTATTTTCAAGTAGCTTGTAATGAGCACCTGGAACTAAAGCCAGTGCTGTGAAGTGAGACTTCAGCACCTCTGGTCTCAAGCAGACTCGAGGTCTGTGCTGGTGAGGGACATGACCCCAACATGGCTTTCCAGGGGTGGATGGCTTCAAGTCTACCTGGTGGAATGCTTTATCTGCTCTACATCTGTTACTGTGTTCCACTTGGTTGACTGTTGAGTAAGATGGTTTGTATACCTCATGTTGGCATCCTCTGCGTTTCCTCCATACGTCATTCTGGCTATTTCAAGTACTTTCTGTGTTGTTAAGGGTTGTTTGGTGGTTTTTTGGGTTTGTTTGGGTGTTGGGTTTTTTTTGAGTGAAGAAAGGGATTATTATACTTCAGCAACTGGTTTGTCTGTAGAGGGTGAATATGCACAATAAATGTGTTTGCATTATAAAAAGGAGAGGCGTAGTGTTTCACAGGCTGGCATCTCAACTCTTTGTTTCAGACACCCTTCTTTGAAGATTGCTGTTGGATTTTCATTTCAGAATGAGAGTGCTCTGTAGTGTTTATCTCCTGATATATTCTCAATAATCCTGCTATACAGAAGCAGTCAGACAGCGGTCTACTCCAGGTCATGGGAAGGGCAAGCTAGAATGTGAATCATTTAAAGGAACTGGTAATTAGGAGGCCTATTAGATAGATTGGAAATTAAAGGGCTAAGGAGGAAAAAGAACATTTCTTTCCCTGTGGCAGAGAAAAATGAAAAGCTATGGAAAGAGGGGAAAGAGGATATTTTATGCTTGAGCTCTAAATGGATCCCACTCTGGGATCAGCTGCAGCAAGCGCAGCCTTCCTCAGCCAGACTTTTCCAGACTTTTCAACAGCTTGCGTCTTCCATCTATTTTTGGTTGTTCTCTTGCCCTGGTTTCCATAGTATCTGAATGCTTCATGCTCTTAAATATATCTGACACATGCAACACCTTGGTGAAGTAGGCGGTACCAAGGCTCTATAGAGGTGCTGGGATTCAGGGTTGTGGGGTGGCACAGTGAATTGAAACCAGGCTTTCCTAAATGCTGAATGCATAACTGCTGGATTGACCTTTCACCATGGGTAGCAGGAGAAAATAATATCTTTCTTCATAAAACTGTCTCTTAAAACACATGTGGAAGGGCTCGGTGCTGTAGCTGCTTGGAGCAGAGGTTGAGAGGGGTAGACTTGATGACTGAGGCATTCTCCTCTAATCTTGTGTTCAACTGTTCTCTATTCAGGTGTCAGCTTTCTTTCTCTCAAGTAAGTGAGAGAGAGCATGAGGATACTAGACTGTGTCCCAAAGCCAGGCTGTTTGCTGTAAACTTATTCCCATGGAATATTTATAATGTCTTAATACAGTGTTCAGAGACTAAAGGTAATAGGAATATAAAGAACTTACAAAAAATGAAGCAATGGAATAGAAGCAGACGGTGTCGGTATGAGCCCAAGATGCCAGGAATGCTCAGTCCTTTTATTTTATCCCGGCCATGGGGTACCCAGACTAAAGTATGTGACAGAAATAACCATCTCTCTGCATGATGTGTGCTTCAGGAGTGTTTGGGGGGCAGAGGGAGAAGCCAGATCAAATCAGCATAGCTTAATATCTGCTGATTAAAAACAGGTCCAAACTGAACTCAATCAGCTTAATTGAATATTGCATGGTTCTACAGCTGATGAGTGATCTCCCCTTAATTGGGAAAAGAGGGCCATATTCCATTGTTTTCTGACTCACTTTCTTTCAAGCGTTGGAAGAAACAGTTTGCAAACAACACCAACTTTTTGTGTAACAGGCAACAAGGCTTTTTTTTTTGTTTTTTAAAATCCTCAAAGAACAGCTGCTCTTGATCAGAAAGATATCTGGAATCTTTGATGTTCATTTCCAATCTACCCACTGTTACAGACAACTTCCAGTCATAAAATCCACAAGCCTTAAAAGTTAGTTAATTTTTGATTTGTTGCAAAGTTAAAATATTAAAAAAAACCCTAATCTTAAATTGGTTATGATAACAGATATCCAATGAAAGGTAAACAGCTAGGTCTTGGTAAACAAGAGAGGATGAAAGTTTATGGCAAGTTGTACTCTTACACAGAGAGGGTGTTTTTCTCTTACGCTGTTAATATACTGCCTTGTAGCCATTTTCTCTGCAGAATCTTTTGCTCCAGACCAGAAACAATCACGTTACAGGAATGAACTTTTATCTTCTTGATACTACATTGTTGCTTGGATATTTTCTGCCAGGACTGTCTTAACTAGTCCTTTGGCTCTTCTGCCTGGGGAGCAAGTAGGTAAGGGAAGGCAGATTGTTTTGAAGGACACCCCCCCATCTTTTTTTCTGGGCTGTTGTGAGGATTTCCTGTCTCAAGCGTTGTCTCCTAGGTGATGTGGAAATTCAGAGCTCCAGCTTGTATTTTCTCTGTTCCTCGATGCCTTTAGGACCTGGAAGGAAAGGGCAGGCACTCCTAATGCAAAGCGTGTCTTGTTGTTCCTGCGTCCTTCGTTTGAGCACTTCTCAAGTCGGGCCGCTAGACTGGACCTTTTCACCATTTATCTTAAGCTGCCCCTGTCTAAATCCACGCGCTTATATGCTACAAGAAGCCAGGAAAGTATAGATGTGTTTAAAGAAAATACCTTGGTTTTTTTCACTTGCAAATGTCTCTCTGCAGAAGAGAAACTTCCTGGACATGCAATGTGGTTTTCTTTTAACAGTTCTTTTTTTGAAGCAGTGTCTCAGGTTTAGGCAGAATCTGTTCCTTCATCCTCTGGGAATCATGCATCTGAGCTCTGCTGCTCCCCTTCCAGCTCTCCCTTGCAGCCTCCTCAGTGACAGATGCAAGATGTTTCTTCACCTGCAAAGGTGACCTATCATTCCCCTTTTTCACTCTGCCTTGGTGCTATGGCTATCTTTTATCTGCTCATTAATCCTGTTACTGTGGTATATAATTCTCTGTCTGGCTCTGTAAACTCTTTCCAGGTGCTGACTGACAGTTGTTCTATTTTTCATTTACCAGCAGTATTTTCATGTCTGCTTTTCTCTACTGCAGTCGAGGTGATTATAATATGTCCATTCACGGACACCAAAAGATACTGGATATAGCTTTCCCTCTAAATAGACGTTTTCTACCTGAGGCACGGGGTCCCTGAGCTGTAACATAAGCCTAGAGTAGCTTGTGCTGCAGCAGCCGACATGAAAAAGCAGGCTAGGCATGGAAAGGTGCTTGAAAACATTACTTGCTTAGCCATGATTCATCTAAGGTGAGGTTTGTTGCTGCTGTGATAAAGGTCTCTTGGTTTTAAGATTGCCCTATCTGCTTGCAGCTGTTAAAAATGAGAACAGCTTGATTTGTCACAGGCTTCTCAGCTGATGCATCTGTGGCTTCTGAATGGATGGTAAAACCTTGGCAGCCTCTGCAAGAGATGTAAACAGAAAGTCTGACCAGTGTGGGGAGTTCTGTTTTTTTTTTTAGGGTGGATTTTAGAAGCTGAGCTACCCTCAAACACAAGGCAGCTCTACTGCAAGAGTCTTCAGACACCTTGCAATGGCCCCTGGGTTCAGGCCAGGCTGCAAAAGGCTGAGAGCCTTTGTGAATCCATTTCAGTGAAAAGCCTGGATGCAAATCCCAGGCTCTTGCACCTGTGGGCCCTGAGTAAGTGTTCTGTCAGCTCCACACACAGGTGGGGACAATAGCCAGGGCTGGAGAAAGAAGGGTGCAGAACTGTAGCCTGGAGAAGGGTTGAGATTCTCTGCTAAGCACAAGAGAGAAGAAGAACAAATCCACAGTGCCCTCTTACTGAGGGCCAGCACGTGCCTCTGGTTCTGCAGGGGCATCTGTTGTTCTTGCCATGACTTCAGCCTGCGAGCCAAGTGGGTGCTCAAAGATGAACAGTACTCTCAGTTCCCCGCTCTGGTCCCCTCTTCTTCCCCTTTTTCCTAACCTTTCCTCCACAGATACCAGCATTGAAACCGGCTGTGAGTACCTCCTGTTGCAGGCGCCTGCAATCGGCAGCCCTCTGCTTCTCTGGGTGAAATCAGCACAACCGACCCGGGCAGTATTGGAGCTGGTGCTGCGAGGGGCGAGCTGTGCGTGCCAGTACGTGGGGCACTGCGGGGAGGGGGCAGGAGGAGGATGGGACTGGAGGAGAGGGCAGGCTGCTGCGCTGGGCTGCTGCGTGGGAGCGTGGAGCTGCTGTAGCACTGTGGGTGTACGTGTTGGATAGCGGTGTCCCCTCCTCCACTCGCTGCCTCCTTCCATCTGCAGGATCCAGGGCGAGAGCGGCGGGAGATGGCAGAAGGCTGCTCGCAGAGGGACTCAGCCAGGGGAAGAGAGGCCGGGTGGTGCCTGCACCGCAGTCCTTTGTAAAGCCTCAGGCCTGGCACGCTCGGCCGAGCTGAGCCCCGGCCTCTGCCAGCGCTATCCCTGCACACACACCCCTCCCGGCACGAGGGCGCCGAAGGCCATTCATTTGCAGGGACACTGGGGCAGGACGACAGGCTAAAACGCATGGCGTGAGGACCGGAGCTGTGCGTGCTGCAGAGGAAATGCCCTGTGGGATATGCAGGCGGTGCGTGGCCGTGGGCGGCAGAGCAGGGTTGGGCTGCGTCCCTGCCGCTGTGCTGCTGAGGGCTGCCGCTCCTCGCGCAGCGGTGGCTTTGGGCGTGCTGCGCCTCAGCGTCACCCTGGCGTAGCAGAGGTGGAGCAGGGAGATGAGACAGCCCAGGCTGTCCGGACTGTGCTGCTCAGAGCACTGACGCTGTCAGAACTGCAGCAGCTGGTGGGAGAGCAATCCACGTCCCTGCATGAGAAGCCAGATCCGACCCCGGTAGCAGTAGTGGCTG